CCCAATTGTATATTTACCGTCACTTTCAGTTTCACTGTTGCCTTACCTTGGACGGGTGGTGATCTCCATTCCAGGCCTCTCAATGGCACAGAAAAGAGAACAAAGACTGAGGCTGTTTTGAGCTGCTTGGATGAACTGCTGTCAGCACAGCCGGGGTGATGCTGTAACCACGTAACTAGGAATACAGATAACCCACATAGAGCTCCACTGTCCTCAGAGTACTCAGCAGTTTACTCATTCAATGAAAAGCAGAAAGTAATTCCTGGCAAAACAAGGAGGGAAGGATAGCTGGCTTCCACCTCCCCTTCTTCAGTCTTCAATGTGGGACTGAGCACAGGAGGTGTGTGTGGAGGAAAAGAACAGGGAGAAAAATTCAGACTGTCAAGTATCTTTCAACTTAGGTATTATGCAATTCTAGGCCAGGGAATAGATCATTCACCCACCTGCAGAGGTCATTTCCTTCTTTTGTTCTTTGAACTATCTTTATATGCTTCCATCCTCACCTTACTGTTTTACTTCACTGTCTTCCAAACTGCAGAAAATGGAAGACCATTGATCTGCCACCATCTGATCTTCCAAACCTAAAAGGAGTTGCCAGTGGTGGGAAGCAGTCAGCTCTCCCGAAGGGCATGTCCGACCAGGATGTATTTGCTTTAAAAGGGATCTCTTTTCTTTGTAACATGCCTGATGTGCATGCAGCATGACTTCAGCAGTGCATGCACCATGGTTTCTCATTGTCCATTCCTGGACAAGGGAGAAAATCCATTACCTCTAACAGTGCTGAGAGCTGCTGCTGTACCACATTCCAGGAGCTCCTCTGAAACTGGAGTCAGAGTTGGTGCTTGAAAGCCTTACGTGCCTCTTCCTCCTTTACAATGATTCAACTTCATTTTAAAATGAAGAGACACTTAACAGCCTTTGTGCCATATTTATAAATACATACGCAATATCTATAGCATGTTTAGCAGAGAGAAGCCCTCTCTAGCAGGTGATCCAAAATACACTTACCGTTAAGTCCACAACATTCAAAACAGCAAGAGAGTTCTGATGAGGAAGGCCACTAGTAGTGCTAAGATTCACCTCTGAGAACCAAATTCACAGCTAATACCACCACGCTCTGGAATTGGGCTTGGCTTGGGGGTTCTGTCACTAGCAGGAGGCTGGAAGTGTTAGCTGTTGTGAAAATGGAGGAAAGCTTCATTAGATATGATGGTTTGGGAGAATGATGGAAACTCCCCCCAAACAATGATCTTTGTAGACTGAAGATGTATTTTACCTCTGCCTGCATTGCCACCATGAACATAAAGTACTTAAAATTATTACAGGGTAGTCAAAAAAGGTTATTTGAAGAGATGCCTAGTGGGGTTTGCATGTTGTCAAGTACACAGGTTTATTTCAGTGTACTTTGTAGTTAGCTGTGAACTCCCATCCATGTGATTTGAGGCCAGGGGGAAGAATCAGATTTGTCCTAGCTCAAACCCACCGTTTTTCTGGATTTCCACTTTACTGAGGTAACAATTATTATCCCCCTGTAAGTACATAATATGTATTTATATGCCCAAGTAATACCTTAAGATAATACTTTACCTAAGCAATGTGTTAAATGTAAAAGCCCCCCAAAATGGGCAGTTACGTTTTTCAGACACTGTTCCATTTACTGAATTATTTAGGGCAATACCAGCTACACCTACTCCAACACAGAAAAACACCACCAACAAAAAGCCCTCAAACAAACCAACCAAAAGCCAGCCCACGTTCTGTGTAGCTGTGAGGTCCATCGTTTGCCAGGGATGCGCGAATACTATTCAAAGCAGAGGAGGAAACAACCAAGTACATCCAAGGTAGGTGCAGCAACACGAGAAAGACAATGACTGGTTTAGTGGAGAGCTGATACTGACATAAACAATGCTCCTAAGCCTGTTGCAATATTGGAAGCACTCCCTAAACAGATCCCACCAAACCCAAGAGCCCTTTGCCAACAGTTTCCTTGCAGAGTGCTCCTGTGATATATGGAGATATTACAGAGGTTTACTGAAACACAGCTGTTAAGTACTGTCCAGTGGTCAGCCAGAAAATCTGGGAACAGAAGCTTGATGTTGATCTGTTGCTGTAAGTGTTATAAAAGCCCTTCTTCCTTAACAAAGGATGAGTCACATGTATCTTCTGTTTCATGATGTTTAAAAAAGTTAGAATTTTTTATTTACTCTGTATTCATGGCACTTGATACACGGTCTGTACTTTCAAGATTTTTTTAAATTAAAGGATTTTTCAACCATATCCTTCTTCTCCCTTAAGCATTTACTGTCTTCAGAGCAGCAGGACATACGGCAAGGAAGAGCCAAGCAAATTGGGTGTGTTTATGTCCTGAGGTGTCCTCCCCTGTTGCAGATTTAAGAAGCCGTAACTAGCGCGTTAGCTGTGGTTGCTCCACAATAGTGTCCCTAAGTCCTGTCAGCACTTTTGTACTCATGCACGTTGAGCAGTTTAAAGTAAAAACTTAATTGGGTGTCCTACACCCAATATAAAAATCGATTCCAGCCAAATGTGCCCCTCTTATGGTAGGTGCAAATGTGTTTCATTCATCAGAAACAGAAATTGGAAGTATCTCCCTACAAGTGCACTCAGAGCAGCCTCTGTCTCAAAACTGCCAGGTAACAAACAGAATCCAGTTCTGGCTTTCACTCACTATGTAGAGGTTGTACTTGATGATCTTAAAGGTTGTTTCCAACCTCATTGGTTCTATGATTCTGTCCCCTGCACATTTCATATCAACCTGTTTATGAAGCACATCACTGTGCATCCCTTACATTCCCCTCAGCCCACAGAAGGGAATTTGTGCCTACAGTCAGATTTTATCACGAAACAGATGTTAACACTGTGCAAGAGCAGGTCCCAGGCTCTAGGTTCACCACCCTCTGAGCACTGCCCTCCAGTGAACCTAGGAAAAGGTCATTCTCATTCAATTCTCCCCAGTTCTGGTGCTTACGTTCACTGCTGGCACCTAATGTGAGCAAATGTAACAAAGGTTCAGATCCACACCACTGAATCCATTATGGAGATTTTATATTTCTTACCACGGTTTTTACAGTTTCACAAATATCAAAACCCAGGTGTACATGTCCATTTTGCAACACAAAATGACTATACGATTCCAAAAAGAGCAGGCATTCCAAATACAGGATTCTGAAGTGTAAACACAGTGTACAAGCTCTTCACCGCACAACCCGGTGCTATGCAGCAGCAGCTGAGGTAACACCGTGCAGCAGGAACTCAACAAATGGTTGGTTGGCCTCAAGATGGTTTTCAGCATCCTTCTGTCACCTGTTCAGTCTTTAGTTCTCCTCCAAGTTATACAAACATACAATAAATACATTTCTGATTTTAAAGGACACTTAGACAAGTCATGAGGATTTACGTGAGTACAGTACATTTAAGTTCAAGTGCAAAAAAAGTAACTAGTGGTTAGTCATCGATGCTTCTTTTCATTGTCTATGGTGTTGGTCCCCGGCACCACCAGAACATGGGTTGTTCCCAAAGCACAGCTAAAGCAGAGCTATGGGACACCCCTTCAGCAAAAGCAGGTGAAACTGCATATCCCTTTTGCTGCTTAGCTGCTGCCATCTTCCTCTCCCCTAACCCTGTGCTCCTGTTGGTCTGCCTCTGGATCACTGTACAGTCCCACAGCATGCATCTTCCCCACAGGAGGCCCAAAACATCAGATAGTTGATCCCAAGGAGGGCTGAGCAATACTCACTCGGTCCCCTAGAAGTCAAGTGCTCAGAATCTCCTAGGAACAAGCTGTTAATACAAGCAAATGGGCCAAACCACTGCCCTGACCAAACCCCCAGGCTCCTCCCTGAGCCCAAGGATTTCCCTGCAGCAGCAATTTTCACTCTGCACTAAGTGAGCCTGCTGCAGTTAATATTGAAAAGCATAACAAAACATAATCCAAAGTCATCCAGTGTCTTGACATTGGGCAAAGTCATTTCCTAAACATACTGGAATTTAATTACATTTGCTTCCTCCTGAGGATCTCTCACTCTACTTGATTTCTGCATCAACAACTTTGCTCCATAATCTTAGTCATTAAGATCTGCAGGTAATTCCTCCTTATCCCCCACCTTCCCTAGGCACTTAAAGCTTACTCTTTTCTTAATAAATAACCACAGTAACTACACTGCAATAAATAAACTGTTGTATAGGTGATGAAATAAAAAACCCAAGAAGACAGCGTGTCCACCGAAACCCTCGATCAATCTCAGGTTGTGCAATCTTGACCAAAGATTCTTGTCTCAATACAACATCAAACCTAAAATTACCCAAACGCGCACATCCAATGCCCAACTGAAAGGCTGCAAGTGCAGAGGTTAACTTCTTCAGAAGCCTTCCTCCAGCTCTTTTGTTTCACTAAAAACCCAGTTCAAAAATCTTTGCTCTGCAGAACTAAACCTTTATCTCAAACAAGATAACATCAGATTCAAAAACATATTCTTTGAATATGTGTGTGTTTTACTTAATCCACCACCATAACACGAAGACACACTTCCTAAAGCTATTCTGTTTCTGAGAAATCTTTACAGAGACAGTTTCATGCTGTTCCTATGTTTATTGGATATTTTTTAATAAACTATGCAGGGAAACTCAAGTTTCTCTCCTAAAAAGTCTTCTCATTTTGTCTCGGGAACAAACTCAAAGAAGAAAAATTACCCAATCAAGTCAGACACTCTGTGCCTCAACAAGTGAGGAGTGAACTCCCTTTTTCTACATAGCACTTGACTCAGCTTTAGCAAAGCAGCCAAGAATTCTTCCTACCGTTAGATCCGGCCACATCACTTCCCTCAAGAATTCCGAACTTTGGCTTCCCTGCTCGTGTTGCTCTGTGTAGTCATATGAATATTCTTTATATAGCTAAAAGCTTGCACTGCGTCACATTATGATCATTAAGATGAAAGAAGTCCTACTTTTGAGCTCCTACTCCAGCGTTTCCCAGGTGAGAAGCAGAATTCCATGCACTGGATTTGATAAGATGAGCGCATCTCAGGGCCCTGCAGCAGCAGGCTGAGCATCATGATCCGACACAACGCGGTCGCCATCTACTTGGGAATCTGATGTTGCTGTAGGTGTTGGTGCTGAACAATTGCTGGACTGCCCAGAATCTGTCGGATTTTGGGGTTGTCTTGCTGAGCTGGCTGATGAAGCACTGCAATTCTCATGGATTTTCTAAAGAGAAGGGAAAGGATCGCATGCAAAAAGTAAGTAAGAACACTCACAACCCCATCCCCAGTGGTACACCCCAGATGCATTCAGGCACTTCTGGAAATTCACAAAGCACTTACTTTCAATGCTGGCAACAGAACAAATCAAACTTAAAGAAGCAAAGCAAAAGCAGTACATTTAAATCCAGATGACACTAATAGCAAGCAGACAGTAGCTTACCTTCCATCTCTTTTCCTAACTGCACTTTCCCAAGAAGCATGCAAAAAACAAACTTGTTGTGTTTCAAGGGAAAAAACACACAATTAACTGGACTTCAAAGTGTTCAGACAAGATCATTCTTTTGACCAAGCAAGTCTATAAATTGTTTTTCATGCTCCTTAAATATATAAATGCTCCTACTACCCAAAAGTTAGTTCCCTAATCCTTCCCCCTGCCCCAAGATACTCCTCAGACTTTCTGAATGGCAGAACATCTGCAATACTGATGTATGATTCCAGCCAGTATACTCCACAGGCCTTGCTAAGGAACATGAAAGCACATTTAAACACCAGTTACATTCCCCAGGGTTGAAATAGCAAGCCTTAACACCAATACATTCCACTTCGGAGATACCACACTGTGACTGTTTTGCATTGAAGAATAGAGAATATGGCAGGTAAGTCTCTTTGCTTGAAGGAGTATAAGCAAGTAGCAGCAAAATCAAGCCAAAATCTTAGTAAGAAGGAATATTTTTTGTCACTAATTCCATTTTCTGTGTACTGACCCTCCTTCCAAATGCTCTGTTTTAGTTTTAAGGAGGCTACTTAAATTTAGTAAGAGAGCTGGGCAGGCTTTTTCTAGTTTCAGTGTTTTACCACCAGCCTAAAATAAATGACTGGGCAAAAAAAAGCTTTAAGTGTTTTGAGGCAGGTTTGTCTTTTGGGGGCATTGAAACAGGGATGAGAGATTTTGGAGAATAGAGATGATGAAGAAAATAATACAGCGGGGTGCATGGAATTTTGGCACATCAACGAGAACTACTTTTATATCAGCGCTGTGTTTTTACAGGAAGGAAAGAATAATGAAGAGATCACGTTCCACAGAGAACAGGCACAAAAGCCTTTCTTGCCTCTTCACAATTCTCAGTGAAGCAGCTGGGTGGTGAACAGCAGCATTGGACTAGTCCCTCTCAGACACAACACAACTGCAAAAACCATTCTTTTCTTGCCATGTTCATGGCATAAGGTCTGTGTCACCACTTTCCTCTGATTTAAAAGGGGACAGCTTATACTAACCAAGACCTTGAGGATATTTACCAATGAGAAACAGAGCGGTTTGCCTGGACAAATTACTTTGATGTCAAAGACCCTGTGATATCTTCAGTGTCATTATAAAAAAAAAGATGTTCTTTGACTCAGTGAAGATCAAAAAAACCCCAAACCAACCCCCACCGACCTAAGGCAGACATGCCTGCAGTGTATTTTCAGGAATAAAGACAAGTAGGAAAGGCAGGAGATCGCTGACCGCGTGACATTCCTACACACTCTGCTCTGCTGATTCACACTCATCTCCCAAATTACCCATTTCTAAAGACAGCAGTTGTGGAAAAAGCATTTCTGTGTTGACGCCTACCGGGTGCATAAGAAGGAACCTCACCCACTCCTTCCAGACAGGTAAACACAGTGGTTTTAACGTTAACCACGCTGTTCTAAAACCTTCATTGACACCACTGCTTAAGCAGCTCCCTTCTGAAAGGCATGTCCAAAGCATTAGAAGATAGTTCAAGATCTGAGCCCATCCAACCGTTGATGAAGCTATAAAAAGGTATTTTGGAGGAAGACTGGACAGAAGGGAAATGGTGTAAAGTAAGCAGCAGCAATCAGACATTTTAAGTCAGAGAATGGCTGTTATCTGGTTTAACTCTAGATAAAAAGAGAGACTACTTTTATTTGAACAGAAGGTTTGTATCCCATCAGTAGTTGTCTGAAACATCTATTTCTGCAACCATGTAGATGTTTGACAGCATCACCCAAGGAAGCAAAACTAAATAAAACATCATTTTACACTGTTACGCAGCTGTGCATCTTCATGTTCAGTTAGCACCTTGTACATCTTGAAACATGCATGACCTGCACATTCCAACTAACACCAAACCAAATGTGAACTTAAAGGGAATTCAAGTGTATCTAAGCCCGTAAACCAGAGTCTCTTTCTGTGTCTCTCCCTCTCCTCCCATCTTCAGGAAAACAGTACTTGCAAAAATAGTTACTCCTGCTGTACTATACATAGAGAGCACCTCCATTTCATGCAGTATTTCAACTACCATGTCAGAACACCAAACTTAGCGCAAGCTGACAGAGAATACCTGCCAGGTACTAACAGATTTACACAGCTGTAAAAGTTTCAAGCATCTAACAAATGCATAAGAACTTCCTGTACGTTAGAAGATTACCTGCAAAGGCTGATTCTCGGGAGTTGGATGGGTTTTGGATAGTTTCACCATCTCTTTGATCTGGTAGACAGCATAAGCTAAGGTGACCCAAGGAGAAGAGCTGATGCCCCAGGCAGGCTTGTTCACATCCTCTTGGTCTTCTTGGTGTTTAGTTTTCTTTACAGGGAGTCTGGGCTCAGTCCGGGGCATGATATCTTCTGACTGCTGCTGTACAAGGTCAATAGTTGCTATGGGAACAGGACTGGAAGGCACTGGGATCCTTTCTGCGAGCATTGTCTTTTCTGAAGTTTAAAACAAAATAATCACTGGCAAAGCCAAGGAGCTTAAACAAATCCCACCCCAAAACAGTAAAGCAGACAAAGAACACTAAGTATTTCTTGCTTTCACAGACCAGTTATCACTGTACTGAAAGCAGAACACTGGCACAAACAGCCAGGAGCGAGACACACCACAATCTAGGTAGGGAAATACGCCATGGATGTTCTGCAACTGCAGCAAGGTAGTTTAGATGTCTGCACAGGCAGGAAGGGCTAATGGGTATGAAGCAGTCTGTTTGTTTCCAGGTATTAAAAAATCCTTGTTTTCATGTTACATGGAAGAAGTCATTCTCATGTCACATGCAAACTGGAAACAGGTCTTTTAAACTTGCAGCAAACTTCTTTCTCTATGTAAAGCCTGCATCTTACAACTCACTCGTACTCTAGATAACTAAACACTAGCTTCAACAGGAATCATTCGGTGAAGGCACATGGCCTGCATCATCAGAACAGCCCTTTCTGGTCCTAAAATTTCTAAACCTACTCATTTGACTTAAAGAAGTTGTTCTTCATCTTCAACACTTTTTTTTTTTTACCTTAAGTAAACTACCATCCTTAGGTAGTTACTATGGAGTTACGCAGTTAGTGAGAAGAGAACAAGGTGAGTGACACACTGGAGGAGACACAACATCTGTAACAGAGTTTCAGGTAAAGGAAGAAATCCTCCCAGATGTTTACATCTAAGGTCTTCTGATAATCTGAATTAATTTTCACAACTGCCTTGAAATGTTATCCACAAAACGACTGTCATGGCCCAACACAATGTACCTTACAGTCTTGAAAAGCCAGAGTATTTATGTATGAAAAGTAATTAAACATTGTTAGAAACTGTTAAGATATTTTAAGTAATAGCTGTATGTTCTCTATGGGTCTGGAAATAACACTGTAAATTTTGAGACAGTATTTTTTTCTGAGTAGAAGTATTCTTGCAATTAAAAAGATCTTTTTTGTTTCAAAATTATACAATTGTATTTTGTTTACAGGCTCTTAGCACTGGATATTTTAAGCAATGACTGGATGTTTTCTAGTACTGAAGAAATGAAGACTAGTCCTGCACACGCCTGACCACACGCTTAAGTCTTACTCATCCAACTGGTCTGGCTGAAAGCAACCTAATTAGTGCCATGCTTAAAATGAAGATACACACTGTTCAGATGGGTAGTGCATATTAAATGAAAACCAAAGACTGAAACAAACTGAATACAATAAGACCACTAAGAATAAACTGTTCTTTTGTAGGCTCATGTGTAATTAACCAGAAGTTGATGGGAAACTGAAGCAGCAAATATCCTTTTTACCTTTCCATCTTTTGGCATTATCATTTGAACAGAAGTGAAGAAAATTCTAGCAAAATAGATACTTGAACACTTTATTACAGAGAACTTGATAACTAGTCTAACACAATTCATTTAATATTACAGCTAAAGTAAACTAACTTTCATTTCATATTCAAAGCTTATATTGGAAAGTAAATTTGGGTAAAAAGCAGCTCAAAAATTCATGACTTTTCAGAATTTGCTACAGTTTTATTGTAAAATCCTTGCACCAAGTATTTCATTTTCTGGTTAGCCTTTGTATCAATAAAGGTGGAGATGAAACAGGTCAAATGCCACCCGAGGGGAGATTTCTCGGGTGCCATAACAGAACTGAGGAAGCTATAAAAGTTTGTGTCCTCTGAAGCCATCTCTACAAGCTCTGGCAGAGGTTGTGGCTTGGACTGGTAGAACGTGACAGCATGCAGTGGCAAAGGTGACCATAAAGACCTGACGCGACTGAAATGACTCGCTGTATGTTAAGGCTAACCTAAGGGATTCCCGGAACTAAGAGGACATACAGGTGGTAAAATATGTTATGCTCTCCTCCGAAAACTCAATGCTGCCCTTACAGCAGCAGCATATCCCTTCAATTTCTGTCATTGCTCAGGAAAAAACTTCCCACTTGAAAACAAACTGTTCTGTCAAAATCGGAGTAAAGACACCAAACAAACAGAATTAAAACTGCAGGTAGAAGCTTCAGAGATACCTTTCTTCACTAGTTCTAATTTTGCGGGGTCTCAGGGATATGAACATTTACCTTCTTCTTCATCAGGAACCAACAGCCACTGGATCAGGGCGAATAGAAGAAGAATCACTAAACAAGCCATCCCTATTCCTCTGAATGTGGCAGCAGGACCTGTAATGAGATTTATTTCTTTCTAAATTGAGAATGTACATAAGATGAGTCAGTATTATGCACTCCTTGGGTACATACTGTCCCATGTAGGCTCTTATTAGCCTGTTTCATTACATTTTCCTCCCCCTGGCTCTTGAGCAGGCTTTGCAAAGGCTTTTCGACCAAGTAATTAGATTCTCATCTGCTCATGGAGAGGCCGCATAGTATCAACCTATTCTCTCACAAAGAGTTTCATTCATCTCACTTATGGATCAGGTTGGAGATTTGCTCACACAGCACTAAAAATATCTAGGCATAACATATTTAATCAATCTGCAATGCTCACAGGACAAAGCCATAAGCAATCTGGTCTGCATTCAGTGCTGACCTTGTTTTGATGAGGAGCCTGGAGTGGACATCTGAGGTCCCTTCTAGCCTGAGCAGTTCTATGATTCCATAATTGACATGAAGTGTATTATTACTCTTTAAAGCACAGCAAGACCTTAAGCATAAATAAGTTAAAGCTGGTAGTTCAGTAAAACCGTAACTTCAATAAATAAAATGAAAGTTTTCAATATGATTTTTGCTTACCAAAGTAATTGACCAAAACCCCTCCAACCATAGCCCCGCAGCCTCTGCCCAGACCCAAGTGAAGACCTTGCAGGATTCCCTGGGCTGACGTTCTCAGCTCCGGAGGCACTGCCGCGCTCAGGTACGAAATACAGGCTGCCCAGATAGCTGCATGCGTGACACCTAGAGAGACGAAACACTGTGATGAGTTCAGAGCATTCCAACACAACATCAGAGCAACTGCACTCATCAGCTGGAGGACATGCTGGAGAAAAACAACAAAACCCCTTTAGAGACAGCTCTCTGTGAAATACAAATCAGCTTTTGGTAATGGGATACTGGCAACCAAGCCACAGGGAGACATGATGACTCCTGCAGAGGCTGTCAATAGCTCTTTCTCCCTCTGAGATGATCTCACTTCTCGAGACACAGTTCCTTGGAAGATTAAGAGCCTTAGATGTCTCTCCGCCAGACTCCTTGTCCCTTTGAGAGTGACCCTAGGCCTTTGAAATACACTCCTAATTTGATAAGCTGCAAGCAATTAAGCATTGATGCCTCTCAGCAGACTCCTTACTGCCACAATGAAGGCAGTGCAAAAGTCATAAAATACAAACAGTATCAGAGATATCCATGTCATTCCAGAGGCAAGAATTAATCCCCTCCCGCCCTTCTCACTCCTCCCCCCCACAAACCAACCACCCCCAAGCAAACTCTTTCTGAACTCAACACCAACACACTCTGCTTTTAGCACTGAATGGTCTGGACAAAAAAAGCACTCAAGCTCCTCAGGGTAGGCCAAAGATGCAGCTTTTCACGCCTGCTGTTGAGAGGCAGAGTCAGCATGCCCTTCCTCCCGCGATGACTGCATCCCGCGTAGGAGCTGCTGCACGCTGCTGCCGCCTCCCACTTCACCCACTCCCGCTCTGGGGACTGAGCGCAGCCGAGGGCCTCGCTGCTATAAACAACAGCCACAGCTCCAAGACAGCCCCAGCACCACAGCAGAGGTTTTGGAAGCCTCTTTCTGGCGCACGTCTTGTAGATTCAGGGTTATGAACATTTCTTCCTACTGCAGCAGCAGGACAGGTAATGCCCCATCCCTGGCAGCGGTCAAGGCCAGGCTGGACGGGGCTTGGATCAACCTGCCCTAGTGGAAGGTGTCCAGGAGGTTGGAACTGGATGAGTTTTGAAGTCCCTTCCAACCCAAACCGTTCTATGATTCTAGGGGGAAATGACCTGTGCACAAATGACCTGTGAATGACCATCAGCACCCAGGAACAGGCTGCAGGTGGAGCCTTTGTCTTTGAGCACCGTCTTGGTGGGGGTTTTGTGGAGTGCGTAGGACAGGACAGGAAAAGGCAGGGTTGTGGAGAAGTTGGAAAAGCAAAACAGTTTATTAGCTCATCACACACTGAATAAGCCTGAACTATTTTGCCACCCTCGGATTGAGTGGGAATACTTTTTTCTTATTTGAGTGGTATTAAAAATAGTCATCACAGCTTACCAATGCCTCAGCTCTACTGCCTCGGTTTAAAAGAACGTTGGCACCACTGATGATTCAGGCAACATGTTTCTGTCCTCTACACTTGACTTATTAATGAACAGCTGGACACTCAGTAATTACTTAGCCATTTAAGCTGAAGACTGGTAAGAGCAAGAAAATACAAGATTTTGTAACATACAGAATAGCCTGGATTTTGTTTAGGTGTAAAACAATAAATAGCACTGACTGGAATGGATGCAGTTCAGGTATAGCCATGTAACATGTCCATGAGGCTGTACAGTGCAATTTCATCCCAAAGCTACATAAAAATTTCTCAAGCTTTGGGTTTGTAAAGGCCACCTTTCACTTTTATACATTGCAGAGGTGGTTTTGGTAATACTACATCACCTTGGTGAAAAATAAAAAGCTTACATCAGGATCAGTGCATTTTACCTTACCGTTTACAGTTTAAGGCTTTAAAACTCAGATTTTCCATGCAAAAAGCTCATGGTTTTAAAACTCACTGAATACCTACTTTTTTAAAATGGAGACCCATGTATGCACTGCAAATAACAAGCAAGAAGTGTCCCAATCACAAAGCAAAGCCAATCTCATCTAATGTGCTTTTGTTTTAGAAAGGCTATCAATTATGTAAAACATTCAGTTCTATCAGCTATTAAAGAGTACGTCCAGTTTTAAAGCCTGGCAAATCAAAAACACATCAGAAATTACTTGAACCATGAAGCACAATACCACCGTATTTGTTTGAAAACAAAAGGCCATAACTTAACCAACGGGTTCTTGGATGTTTTCACCTGTACAGGGCAATCCAGATAGAACACAGTGTTCCCAGTTCCTCTGAAAACAAATCCATACCTTTAAACCAGCTTATTTCACACGTCTTTAAGATAAAACTTTTGGTTTGGTTTGGGGTTTTTTATAGCATGTGTACATTGCTAATGCGATTTATAAATAACGTGATTATTTATACAACGGTGACTACTTGGAACTATTTTTACAACAACTTTTCTAAGAAGTCTGGTCTGGATTACTGCTAACCACGATTCTTTTAAGAAGAAGTTGTGTGCAATATGTACATTGTGACATGATGTGCAAAACCACTAACCATCATTTCAACATCTGGACTATCCAATAAACAGAACAACCCCAGTGTTATGCTTAGAATAAAAATGTTTAGCAAACTTAGGATAATTTACATATAAACCAAGAGCTGAAGATTTGAGGAGCCAAATTTATTTCAGGAGAGATATACCCTCATCACTGCCAGCTACAGACCCAAGCATTTTGCTCTCTAGACATAACCATGCTGCTGGAGCACCAGTAGGAGTCACTTTGTACAACAGCACTTGTTTTGGAGTTTGCTGGATAACTGCCAAGTGAAAATAGCTAATTTTCAGGTTACCAATATAGTTTTGTAACTTACAAAACCCCTGTTATGTAAACTGGTGAGCTAGCATAGCTGTTATCAGAGAATTTGGACCATTGCTTTGTAACAATAAGCTGCAGATAACTAGCGTATCAAAACTTAATCTGGTAGTTGCAAAATGAACAAGATTGCCTGTGTGTTCGCAGGCAGATATATATATACACACACACACTTTACCAGTTGCCTATGAGGATGTCTTGACATTTTCAGTTATTAAAGATTCAGCCTAAGCTCTTCTTCTCATATATTGCATGTGCAAGTCAACGCAGCAAATCTATTCAAAACTGTAAATTAAGAAGCAAGTTTAAATCTCCTCATTTACTCCTTTGAGAGTGCAATACACTTAAAAGAGTCCTCCCCATCCCAGTTACAGACAGCAACTGAAACACAGCATGGCTCTTATTACAGTCAATAGATGCAGCCTGGGGAGCATCTTCCAGAAATCTCTCCATGCCCTTTAGCACAGCACATGGGGATAATCCTTATATTGCAGAAATATATTAAAAAGAAAAATAAATTCTTTACAAAATTCAGCTGAAACTGTTGCTGAACTTAAAGCCCCTCCAGCTCATGAAACTGGAATTTACGTAGCATTTGACAGCTTCCTGGAAAAAAGCTGTATACAAGTATAACAAGGATTTCACCAAGGGTCCTACCAACTTAGTGCAAACATGTGTCCCACATGGTACCCACATGTTCTGCACAATCTACTCTTTTATTGCCTTTAAATACTTCTAATCCTTACATATGCAAAGGAGCTACAACTCCTACCTCCCTCTGCCAACAGACTCATTTAACAAAAACAAGAGCTTCCACCTCACCAAGTTCATTAAGGTTATACCTGTTACCCCCACTGACAGACACAATGAATATGTGGGGAAAAAAGCAGAGCCTGAAGAAACAGGATTTGGTAACCACTGCAAAAGAAATAATGAATGAAGAAGAGATTAAAACCAGTAAGAGTGAGGAGGGGAAAAGAATAAAGTGGGGAGGGGGCAGTCTGCAGTACTTCTAAAAAGATAAAACTCCATCTCCCATTCAGGGACCTCATGGACAGTAATAAACGATGTCAGAGGCAGGCTGAAAAGTGCACGTAGGACATGACACGTGGGGCTGGGGGAGAGTTCTATGTGTTTGTTTAGTTTTTAACTTTCTCATTTGCTGACTATAAACAACTGCAAATAGCAACAATAACTGAAGTGCACATGATTCAGCAGTGGCTAGATATAGTCTGGCAGATAAATTCATGATGCAGTATTATTTTGAAGGTCCTTAGCCTTTTCTTTAAATTACTCAAGATTATACCACACAAGAAACCCAACCAACACAGATCCCTCACAGCCTTGCTGTAAAGGCAAACTTACATATTATGCAATTCATATTGAAATTTCAGGAACATAAAAACAAGATTCAAAGGAAAAGAAACTTATTTCTCAGTCATGACTAGAGGATGCTTCCAGATGCAAACTTACAGCTGTGTTGTCAAGACACAGGGTTTTTTCCTGTATTTTGAGTTGGGGTATCTTTAAAACGGGATTTCCTAGAAGGGCAATATCCAAAGCTTTGTATTTGTAATTTGTTACCCCTAGATGTTTAAGCAGGCAAGGGCGTAACACAAATGCATCCTTCAGGTTGTTTGCGACATTTCCATATTGTAACGCTTGGTATGAATGATGAAGTATCAATTCAACAGCTTTGGTTTGGGGTTTTCTTAATAGCAATATTCAGAAGCTTGCTGTTGTGGCAGTTTTAATACAATAAACAGTTTTTGTTAGCAAGGGAGGTAAGGAGCCAGGACACAAACAGATCTCTTTCTATGCTTACAGATTTATTTACATAGTGCTCTCCAACGGCATTTATAACTCAAGTTAAAATCTACCTTAAAAAGATTTTTGTAAATAGAGTAGAAAAAGTTAATGCAAATTCAAATGCATATAGAAGAATAAAACTTCTAAGTATAACCTGTGGAAAATAGTCTAGATGGTACTGCAGAAACCCAAAATCTTGCCTTTAACAAAGATAGTCCAATTACTTCTAAAGGCAGGGAAAATATTTTCTGCATTTAAATTAATGCAGCTCTTGCAAGCTTACAAACCCCAAAACTTTATAGTGTTCTTCAAATACTGAAGAGACAAAAAGTAAAAAGGTTTAGATTTTTCCTGGTTTGCCCACTACAAAGACACAAAAAAATGTTGTAAAATAGAAGTTAGAACAATTAACATTTTAACATCACAATGAAGATCTTACAGGCTCCTGTGACAACATGACTTTAAAACAGGGCTCAACTTAGTTTTCATAGACCACACCTCTGTCTAATTATATTAAAGGGTGAGTGTCTTAAAGAAGCTCTATTAGCACAAAACTGTTGAAAGGAATTCCTCTCTAGCTATTGAGAACAAGTAATACTGCAGTCTAAAAGTATTGATAGAACAACACCGATGAAAAACTACAAAGTATTTTAACAAAGACAGAACGACCCAGACTCCTTTCAAGAGCCGCGACCTTTAGCATTTAATGAAGTTCACATTATCCACCAAACAGGATCTGCAGTAGGTGTGGATCCAGCTCATGCTTCTCTCTCTCTGTTTAGTTAAAGGGTGTGTTGGTCTTGCACAGTTCTGTTTGAATAAACACAGAACCATGCACAATCAAATGCAAAGCCACCCTTTTGACGTCAGGAATTTCCCAAGTCAAACAGTGATGTTTTATGAACCTAGGTCTTCTGGAATATTTGTGGCCAACAAAAATAGACAAACACCAGAGTTCTACTTTATCACAGTTCCCCTGAAAACAAGATAAATCTAAGAACTTGATCTTACATTGGAAGGGCATTATTGCACTGCCTTACCTTGAAGTACTTCCATTGGGAGAACAGTCCAAGCATTTTCCAGATACGAGATGTAAATGTATCGAGCTGTATTACAGGCAAGACCAATGTAAAGCACTCTAAAGGAAGTAAGGAAAAGAGAAGTCAGGATAGTTTACACTTTTTTTTGGTATAATACAGCTTACTGCTGCAGAAGCTATTTGTACATGCACAAAACAGTTTGCCAGTCTAAAGCGATGCAAAATACAGTCTTTAAGTCCTACAACCAAACTCTCCTCTTGCCCACTCCAAACACATACTCGAGCTGAGGCTGAAGTTAAGACTCTCTTCAAAATCCTAATAGGAAAAAAAAATCAGAAATAAAAAAATTGAAAGGGACAGCAAATCCACTGAGCCTTTAACTATGCTGTGTAGTTCCATGCCATGCTCTACACTGCATTATATTTCAGAGGGACCATCTCTAAGCACATTCAACATCCCTTCCAAACAATCTTCTCATCATTCAGAGATTCATTCTACCATTTTAATGTAAGCCTGGTGCAGGTTTGTGTTAGATGAATTAATTTTACCCCAATTAATATAAGTTTATAGTCCCTGTATCTGCAAACTGCTCAGAACTACTCTAAAAACACATCCCACAGAAGCAATATGGTTTATAACAACATGCCTCAGGATGATCCTGTTGAAAAGCAGCAGATGCTGCATCTCAGAATGAAGAGGAAAAAGAAGCTCTTGTAACAGTTTTTAAACAATGAAGCACAAAGACTATCTGTGCAGTGCATTTCCCACTGCACGTTTAACCTGATGACTTTTCCCTTCCAGTTCTCAGACTCAGCTTAGCTTATCTCCAGGATGCTTACTCATCCAGCTATCTTTCCCTTATTTTTAGATGGATCTTAGGAAAGAGAGACTTAATTCAAAACATGTTTTTAGCTTAAGAAAAGATGAATTCAAAACATGTTTTAGCTTAAGAAAAGATGAATTCAAAACATGTTTTTAGCTTAAGAAAGGATGCTATTGCTGACTTTAAAGATTTTTTCTTTACAGGGACAAGGATAAGTTATTGTCCACACATGGCTTCTTGGTTGACCCCTGGTTTGGCACAAGTGAAATAAATGCAATTAAATGTGTAAGCACAGACACTGTGAAAGGGCAAGCTTTGTGCTGCCTTTTTAATTATTCTGCAACAGTAGAGTGAGATTTAATGAAGTGGTGCATAGCCACTGAAGAATCTAGAGTGAGATGCAATCATAAAGATGCAGCATCTTGTCAACATCCGAGGTCTCTGAACATACATGTTGACAGCTACAAAACCAGTACCATAGTTTTCATCACGTCAGTGACATTCAGGGCTGTGCATTTCACAACGACATGGATTTATAGCAGACAATTTGTTTTACTTTCAGCAAGCTGGGTAAGCTTGCAGGAAGTTCCCTCCACCCCAAATCACACATCAGACCAAGCCGTGCTGCTTCCAGATACAACTGGGATCCATGGTTTAAGGTTTAAGCTGCCTTCAGGCAATGCAAGCCCAAGCATTCATTGAAGAAAACATGGGAAGCCATGAAAATGTTCATTATGATACAATAAAGAGAAAAAACTTGTTCTTTGAGCCACACATCACATATTTCATCTCCCCCTTTAATTAATGCCTTCTGCTAGTTCCTTTCATAGCCACAACTTGATGTAATTGTGTCCAATCACATTTCTGAAGTATATGAGAACACATCTGCCACAAAAGGTAAGCGAACATGCAAGGTCTGCAGGCTCCTTTCTTCATACCCCTACCAGGGTGTTGCACGCTCTTGGAGATACAAAGGAATTGCCTCACCATATACTTGTTTTTCCCCATCAGCAGCACAGATGTGCCCAGAACTGTTTAGGACCAGTTCTTGTCAGCTTAATTTCACTTTTGCCTAGCAAAATCTTTGCCTGTGCATCAATAACTTTCTTCCCACCTCAGCTGTCCCCTGTCACAGCCAGACGAGAGAGGTAAAGAGGACTCCTGCTCCATAGCATCACCACTAACACACTCAGCTACCGGGGCTTTTCTGGCATGTTACACTTGCAGAAAGATTTGGATTTAGAGTTTAAAAGCAGCAACTTAGCCAGGTTCTACCTTTTAATTTGTTAGGATATGTAAAGAGTTTTAGGTAAACTGCACTTTCTACAATTATGGTTTTGGAGTGGCACATCACAGGAGGGCTTCTGTGTATTTAGAGTTGTTTCAAAGATGTATTTATAATGATCACCTGGGCTCTTTATCAGAACTAAATAGAAAATGCAAACAGATGTTCCTTATGAACCCTATATGCAATATCCACAGAGACACCGTATTCAATTTACAGGTTAAACACTTAAAGCACTCAATCTGTATTTATGTTAAAGAGAGTAAGCTGTTTACAGCCATGACTACCAGTCTCTGCTTCCTATAAAAACTCACACGCTGGAACTGTGGTCAGACAAACACATTCAAGTTTAACCTCAAGCAGGAGGTTATTTTCAGAGATTAACATCATCTTCCTAAACTCAACAGCAGTTTTGACTGCTTCTACAGAGGATACCGTTCAACAATGGTGTCTAAATAGACAGCTGGTTTTGTACACTTTTCCATCGCAATATCCTCTCAAAGAACTTGTGGCCTTCACACTTTCTGAGGATGTATTTAACTCTATATTCTTTTAATGAAACTCTTGTCATCTTTCAGAAGGTGTCTGGAGTAGAGAAGGCAAAAATACTCCTCTAGCATCTTCAATACTACCTCCCCTGTACTATGACAAACAGCTCTCGAGCTCATTACTGTCATTACTCCAGATTAATCTAGTGACCTGCTAATATACACTGTTAGAAACACTAGCAGCATGTATAACATATGCACACATGCCGTGCACATGTGTATGAAGAGTAAAGCTAATGAAGTCAGAAATGAGGCGTTTTAATCACCGCCTGTTTAGCACGGTCATGTATAAAATGCTTGGACAATAATGTGAGTATTAGTTAAAGAAAACCCCACCTCAGTGAAAACAGAACAGTTTTCAAAAGGTTTTATATGCCACCCCATAAAATGATAGAAACAAAATTTCACAAACCAAAAAAAGGAAGACTGAACTTCTATCTGACAAGGGTGTAAGGCCTGTCTTCTTGTAGTTCTCCAAAGGACAGTCAATAGCATTTTTTCCTGCTACTGTGACAGCACCTGCAATTCTGGTACTCATGCCTATCTCCAGAGAACCAGAACAGGAAGAAAAGATTGAATGATAATGCTCAAATAAATACTACAGAAATATTGTCTGTATCTAGGAGTCTTAATCCAGAAGAAAGAAATTTTGAGCTATTATAGCTCAAAAAAATTATATAAATATAGGGGAAAATATATAAAAAAATGCCATTCCCAAATGCTTCTGGCTAAAATGGTTTCAAAGAGGGTATATTGTTGGTTCTTGCTAATGGAAGACTTAACATCTGTACTAAAAGGCAGCAGACATATACGGAACTAACAAAGAATATGAACCATGAACTCCTGTACTTTCCTCTTTAAGAAAAGGTTGCCTGCTTTTGAACAAACTACACATTACACACAGCTTGAGGAGTACAGGAAGGCAGGCAACCAGGAGACACCTCATAAACTGTGATGACTAAATACAAGCAAGCATTAGATAACATTAAAGTATGACTAATGTGTATTTCCCAGGTGTAGGTATAAAGAAGGTTGTTTCATTGCAAATAGGAGCTAGTGTTCAAACAACTTAATCTTGATCCAGTCTTGGCTTCATAGGCTTTAACAGTGCAAAGAAGAAGAAAAAAAAATAGGAGTTAATCCTGTGCATTATCTTTCGTTTCACTGGTTAATGCTCCTATCCCCTTCTATTTCATCTTATTCACAAGCCTACCATTCTTTCGGGTTTTGTTCTCTCTCTAGTTGAAGTCTAAGCCTGAATTCTGTATTATGTCAATATACACAGAAAAAGCATACCCAAGCTATTTTTAGATATCAAGATTGTGATCTGTTCTCACCACTCCTCCATCACCATATCCTTCCTCCAGTCTTTGCATGCAAGGTGTCACATTTTCTCATACTGATTATTGTCAAACTCAGAGATTAAAAGTGTGACTCAAAGTCAAGGGATCCTCCTCAGTTCAAAGGAAGAAAAAAAGCATCTTTAATCTCTCAAGTTAGCACGCTAAGCATCTCCAACATTTTTAGTAGAGGTCAAATGAATGAAAAAATTCATCCCAGTAAAAGAAAAACAAAAAAAGCAAACCCACAGAACAGAAAATGCACAAAAAGAACAGTGAAGACAGCTTAAAAATACATCTCATGTATGACTGTATGATTAGAAACAGGGCCTTTGGAAAGGACATGATGCTGACAACACAGAGCTCTGTGCTCAGTTGGACAGAGAACCTGAGCAAATATAAAACCACCTCTTTATGACTTCATTAACTCAGATTTCCCCCTGAGCTTTTCTTAAAGAGCAGCGAAGGGATTTAGAATATGGAAAATTAAGTCAATTATGAATTTAGCGGAAAACGATGTCCACTAAACAACATGCTGGAAGAAGTCAGTTTCACTTACACAGGGCAAAAACCATGGGAGAAGCCCCCCACAGCCATCTCCCTTCAGTAGCTGACACAAGCAGCTGCAGGGAACTGAACTGGTAAATGACACCACCAGGCTGCAACCTCATTCCGCCAACACCCAGAGTCTGATCATCAGGACATGTGCACAGGAGGTGCTCCCCTCACTTCTTCATCTCATCATCCTCTTCTCAGCCTGCAACTGACACCTTTCCAGGCTACTGTGGGGGCAAAGAACTGCCCCACAAGGAGAACCAAAGAATGGTTGGGTTGGAAAGGACCTTAAGGTCATCTAGTTCCAATCTCTGTGCCATGGGCAGGGATATCTCACAGTAGACCGTGTCGCTCAAGGCTCTGTCCAACCTGGGCTTGAACACTGCCAGGGATGGAGCATGCTAAAGCTGGCTAAAGCAGGAGTTTTCCAGAACGCTGCTACTCACAGGAAAAAAAAAAAGTAAAATTAATGGTATTTGTATGTCAAAACAGACAATCTTTGAGTGGGTGGTGACTTGCAAAGATCTCTAACAGAGCTTTGCATCATTGAACTAGGATGTTTCCCGAAGCGTCTGCAAAAGGTTACGGTGCCAGGCACAGTAAACGTACTAACATGCAACTCAAACACAAAGAAAGCTTTTCAGAGCATTTTCAGCTCCTAAAATAACAACAAATAACTCCATCAGGCAAGCTACGGAACTGAGCAGGACTTGGAATTTTAAAATAAAAATCAGCTTGAATTTCACTTCGTAACATACGGCTAAGCCTGAAATTCAGCATCTTTTTGTACAGCTCTTTAATGATTGCTAACATCTTACCTGATATGACCAACCAGTTCAATCAATTTGTGGCTGAAGAAGTAGGCAGTCAGCTCAGACACATGACTGAGCACAGAACAAACTCCAAAGAGCGTGGTGGTACCATTCAGGTCTTCCAAGTGCCAGTACAGAAAGGTGAACACAAAGCCATATCCAAACCCCATGAACCATGCCACAAAGAGCACTGAGCCATACTGGATACTACACAGCAGTTTTATTAGGTCCCAAAAACTGAATGACTGTGACTGGGTCATACTGGTAGGAGTGTTATCAGAGGATTCGCTGGAGGCATTTCTGTCCACCTGTGAGATTTCTACCTCTTTTCTCTTGCTTTCATCTTGCTTGAAGTGCGCATAATGGAATCGAAACTGGGTGGCCACGATCAACGCCATTGTCATCAGAACACCAAAAACGATGAACACTATCCTGTAGTTCTTGTACTCAGGAGCTTTGCATCCTTGACCTTCAATGCTAACTTCTGTATGGGTATAGTCAATGCCAATTCCCACAGAGAGCATGGCCAGCCCCCAGCCCAGAGACCCCCACATACGCTGCAATCCATACCGGTCCCTGTGTTTGCCAAGGTACTGCAGAGTTACAGTGTCCACAATAGTAACAGAGGAAGCACTGAAGAATTCTCCTATGATGACAACCAGCAGAATGAGTAGAAAGATGGCTTCTACTTCTTGCTGATCATAAACGAGCACGGCTTGGTCAGAAGGCATTGGCTTTGTGGTGACGGCAGCTGGCAGGGTACTTGGAGTCATGTTCCCTGGTGAACTAGTGGTGGTGTTTTTCAAAGTAAGATGGGTACTGTTTTCCAAGACAAACTCCACATCACTGCTCTGTGTAGGTAACAGGAATGTTACTTCAGGATTAGCTGTCCCTGTTGTTTCCAAAGCGACCGGGCTGGAAGTGAGCAGGTCTCTCTTCCCACGAGCTTTCGGGGATGCGGTGCTGGCAGTGGTGAGTGGAGAAGACATCGAGATGTTTTGCGAAGCTGTTGTGAACAGGCTGCTTGCATTGGTGGGGTGTGCTGGGGGGAGGCCCCTTGGTACGCATCTTAACGTGGCTGGTCTAACAAATCCGATCCCTAGGTTAAATAAAACCCAGCATAAAAGAGAAAACAGGAGGACAATCTTCCCTTTCTTGAAGCGATCTGCCACCACGCCCCAGAAGGGAGCACTGCAGAACTCAATGAAGTACCTGATGCCCACCAGAAGTCCACTCTGACTGGGTGACATACCCAGCTGCTTGTAGTACACAGGCAGCAAGGGGTACAGGGAGCCATATGCAGAATAGAAGAAAAAATAGAAGACCTTTGAGATGAGGAGATCATTGTTTATTTTGACGCAGTGCTTTTCTAACCAGTCTAGCTCCTCATCCGGGACAGTGGTTGTCTCTGTTGAAGGGGACTCGTTATGGGGTGGCAAGTCCTGATCCTTGGAAATGCCATTGAAAGGATCAGCAAGCACATACTTTCTCTTTTGTTCTTCTTCGTCGTCGGTTAAAATGGCAACCTTATCATCGGCTGCCATGGTTTACCACGAGCATCCAGTATCTGTATATTGTCTCAGGGAACTAAGGCTACCCTGTGAACAAATAAAACACAACATGGTTAAGGTACCACTGGGAACTGACCTGCAATGCCAGTCATCAAGGACAAAGCCAGCTTCTTTCTTGCAGATGACATCCCTGAGCAATAAATGCACCATCAAGGTGAGGAAGGGCATTTGTCTAGACTAGTGGTATGTGATAGCATCAATAAAAATGTGGTTTATGACCAATTCTGTGAAGTTCTCCCACCAGCAGCTTTAATATTGTGGTCTAAGACATATTTCATGTTTAGGACAGGGAGTAATTTATATATTCAAAGTTACTGTGGCAATTATGTGCTAGCACTTGCAAGTCTTTTCTTTCAAGTTGTCTTTTCTCCCCAAGGCTAACTGCTTTATTTCCAGTATTCCTTGCTATCCTAAAGGATAGCCATGATTCTGCAATTAAGTAACGCAGCCACATATACATCTGTGTTTTTTTAATTATCAAAACAAATTGTTATCCAAAGCCTCATGATGGCTTTCAAAAGGTTCATCAACCTCCTCTTGAAACTCAATTTCCTAAACACAACTACAGCAGAAACTGGCGGGAGGCTTAAACTTCTTGGCTGAATGGAAAGAGAGATGGGAATCAGGATGGGTCTTTAAGGTTAAAACAAGGAACTCTCAAAATTAGGATAACAACCTCAAAGGTATCAAAGACCTGGGAGCAATGAAACACAGAGACAAAGAGTAAGTGCAGACCATATAATGACCTCTTCAAGTCCAAATCTGAAACTGCAGAAAGGTGGACTGGGAGGTAACTGCACTGTAGCTGCCCACATTTACCCTCTGCAGAACACTGTAGAACTGGACAAGCAACAATTAAAAATCAATTCAACACTTCTTAGACTTCCATTTGACCAACCAGTTCTCACATTTAAAAACAACAAACTAATAAGCTAACTAACAGCAGCTTTCCTTTCAAGGAATAAAAAGGAAAAGCTCTGCTAGCAGGCTACCAGCTCAAAATCATTCTATTAGGCAACTGTTTCTGCTATATTAGTATCTGTAAATTTAACCTAGGAATATTAGCTCTTGTTCATTACGAGGAAGTTGAACATTTAACCTATTTTTGGTTTTGTCATCCCTTTGTGGTTTGGATTAGTGTTCCTATCACACAGGAACCTTTCCAAGGATCAAGGAGAAGAGCATTTTATTGTAAAAGAACCCGAAATTTCTCCAAGAGCACTCAAGTTATAATCAGGAATAACTTCTCTAGGAATTTCAAGTATTTTTTTGCAGGTCTGCACTTTACTTCCATGAGAAACACTCCAATGAAATTGCAGTCTTTCAAAACTCAACTGTAAGCACAGTATCGTCCCCTTAAAATTAGTCATGCATTGATATAGCCAGTGCCTTTAAATTAACTGCTATTCAGAATTTAGTTAAACAGTGACAATGGATTTGCAAACCAATGCAAGGTATTAACCAAAAAGAGATCTTAATGTTGACAAGCATGTTAATTTAACTGTTTCTTACTGATCCAACACATATCAGCTGATAGAACAAATCATGGATACTTCTGAAAGCAACAGTCCATTAAAATAATCTAAACCTTACACAGTTCAGGGATAGACAAGTCTAAAACTACCACCATTAAAATCCCAAACACTCATGAGGTTGGTTTGTGTTCATCACTTCTAAACGTAATTTCAATGGGATGCTACCTAGGAGGATCTCTGGTTTCACTTAGGCAGAAAAGGTTGCATAAAAATCTTAACTATTCATGTATTCAAGGTCGGAAGTTAAAACAATGCCAGCACACAGAGACTGCTTGTTCTCCAGTTCCTTCAGAGACAATCCAATTAAAAAAAAGTATTTCAAGTATCAAAAGATTAGAAAAAGTCCTCATTAAGTTGTTAGAACAGGCCAATGTGAAAACACATTTTCGTGCTCTTACCTACTACCATCAAAAGCCACATGAACCAAAACCCAGCAGCTCTCTAGTTAGCTCCTGCAGTTTTTGACTCAGGCAGCCACTTCCACCTGACAGCTGGAAGGACTGTGGGGTTTTTGCTCATATTTTTGCTCATTTTCCGCTTCTATATCCACAAAACAAGTCCTTCTAACGAGTAAATTAGATCAGTCATCATCTGTGCTTTTGTTTTCTTTATGCCTTGCCTGCTTTCACAACAAAGGCTCCAGAACTTGTGCAGGGCCCCACTTATGTCAAGGGGATGTAACTGCGGTTTCAGTGCTGTTCTGCGTCCTACCAAAACCAGTATATGCTCATCTGTTTGCAGAACTTGCTTTGTAGCTGTATCAGAGCTTTACAGCATTTAATTGTGAAGAATAAATTTCCTCCCATGATGTGACAAGACAGAACTCAGATTTTAACCACCTGGATATTGGGCCAACTTCTTTGCGAGTATGAACTGAACTTACCCTGATTTAAACAACACAGCCATGTTCTTTATCCTTATATATGAGCTCCAAATCATCTGATTTCATATAAATTATACTGAAAGCTTTTAGAGCAAAGAGTATTAAATCTTTTTAACTTCCATTTCCCTTTTTCATTGTAACAGGGCTTCAATTTTGTACGTTGTATGAATAGGGGGTATGCTAAAAATTGTTATATTGTTCATCTTTAAACACTTCAGCTGCTGTGTCTTCTTCCTCCCTCCCTTCATAACTCATATCTGCCCCAGCATCCGTCTTATTCTAATCTGTTGTGTGCAAGGATTAATCCAAAAGATCCACTCTGAGTATTTTGACTAGAACATCTTGGGTTAGAATGCTACAAAAAGTATATTTCACAAGAATTTCAGTAAATATTTTTCCACCCTAAGAGTGTTTCATTGAATATGATTAATAACACAGATTATACTCTTCAGAAATGTAACAGCATCCAGACTAGTAGAAGCCATATGGCATTCTTTAATGTTTTGATCAGTAGTTTCTTTAGGAGTCAGGCTTCTGAAAGTGATTTTATTTAGCAACTTTTTAAAGACTAAAAATAAATGACTGAAAATGAGAAAACCAAAGCAGTGGTATTGTTACTGAAAAATCCACAGAAAATGTAGTAATCTACAGGGCTTTCCATCTACCGACAAAAAAACACCTATGCCATTCAGGGACTGAACATGCAGCAAATCAAACCAGACAGAAGAACAATGTCCTTTTAAGTGAGACTAGTTAGCTATTGGTTATTTTAACTATAGTCTTCAAATATTGGATCTTCACTTTACAAAACCTTTTTCCGATCCACAAGATGGTAGGAGGATAAAAGACAGCACTACCAGCAAGTTTAAAATGAACAAGAGAGTATGAGCAAGGAAGAAAGGTTCAGAGACCAAACAGAATGGATTTCAGTGTGACAACAGATTTTAATTCACTGAGACAGAATGAAGCACAAAGTTTTGGTCTACCAAAACTTTTGATTGTCATCAGTTGATTGCCATCAGTTCAGCCTGTTCATTGTCATCAGTTCAGCCAGGACAAGTGAGACCGGAGATGTTGCAGAGTGGCAACATCATTCTGAAGAACAGGAATTAACAGTTTTGAAGCTATCTTCCCTAAACTAGACAAGTGCACGCACATGGAACAAAGCCCTAAGAAAAAACTTCCGCAAAGATGCTGAGAAAGCCCCACAAAGGGCAAGGGAAGAGGCATAGCACATGGATGGCGCAGCAGTTACACATCACAGGAAAGCACCCTGGTCCTCCAGCAGACAAGCAAGCTTTTGTCCTCCCACAGGTTTACGCTTCCAAACCGCTACAGAACTCACAACAGGGAACCGAGTCCTTGTTCCCTCACCATCCCATCGCCCCTGGCATGGCTACAATGGAAAAAAGCCTTCATTACAACCTGAACTGCCCACTTCCCCCCAGCCCATGGTTGTACCAGCCCAGGAGCACAAGTCCCTTGCCCAGAGCTGCACAGGAAACTTGTGGCCAAGATGGCTTTCTCAGGCTGCAGATTAATTCTGCAACATCACTTGTGCTCTGAGCAGCTCATGCACTTCTCAGATATGAATATACTTTTCAACCACAAGACTATTCTTCCTTCAGGCTTTGCACAGATACGTAAGTACTAGAATCCATTATTTTTCCTAAGTTTCCTGATACAGACTGTTGCCACCTGGTTTACATTGTACCTCCAGCAAGTCAAAATACACTTTCAAACCCTTACATCGACATGGTTTTTGTCCAGTCATCTTCTGCTAACAGCTACAGCAACTTTCCTGCACACTTGCACCTTTGAGCAACTATCTGAAGAACAGGAAAAATCATTTGTCCCAAGGAATTCAGTGATGACAATGCAATAGTTATTTTAACAAGGCTCTTAGGCTGGTAGGTGGAAAAAGGCAATTATGGGTATTCTACATAGAGTTAAGGATTTTCTTAGTGTTCTTGGCTTTTTAATTTCTTAAACTGATCCTCATTTACTCTGGCTCTCCTAGGAATTAAGAGGATTTCAAGCTCAGAAAGGATAAAAAGCTTATCTGTTCAAGACAACCTGACATTATAAGAAGTTAACTATAAAACAAAAGGCAATTATAATAAGGAAAATACAGTCACTAAAACTCAGCTCTCCCCTTGGAGTCACTCTTCCCAAAACCTGGGGAAAAAAACAGAACACCTCAAAACACCTGCTTTGCACTGTATCTCAGGAGAGAAAATAAAGCCAATCAACAGATCAGAGTGGGTTAGCAAATCCCTAAACCTCTCAGGGAAAACATCATGGCATTAAAACTTAACTTGCAGACCAGCAGAAAGTTAGATTTGGGTTGAAGGAACACTGCTGATTTTAAATAAAGTTTAATTCAGCATAAATATTCCATTCATTAGGCTTTGAGAATTAAAGTACAATTAAAAGTCACACGGCAAAGCCTCAAAATCAGGCTTTGTATATATAGAATGAATGTATAAAAAAAGCAAACCAAACAAAAAACCAACCCAGGACAGTTAACCAGAAGACAGTGCAAATGATCAAGA